TTCCACAAAGATAATTAGTATTGTAAGAGTAATGAAAGAGATGAAAGAGTTGCTGTATGTGTGCTGCGCACCCATGCTCCAACTGAAGCTTCCAAAGCAACAAAGTGAGGACCTGCACTTGCCTTGCACAGCTCATGTTGTGGATGGATGCGTTTCCACACAACCCCACGACAAGCCCCAAGCCTCATGTAGAAGAACTCCTGGACAATCTTCACCGAGTTGGCGTAGACGTACAGCGCATCGGCAGGGGCTGTCAGCATGAAGTTGATGGCCTTCCGCGGGCTTGGCTTCGACACTCACATTCAAAGTCTCACAGGGCTGCGGAGGCCAGTCTGAAGGCCCGTCATGTTTGCACATCCAGGGTTGCGACAGCATTCCTCACTTCCACCATCATGCACACGGTTCAATGCGTGCCCACAACATGGAACAAAGCTCAGCGCGCTTAGACTGCGCAAGTCAATACAAGAACTTGTAGTGCTGCAGGCGTCATGCAGCAATCTTCCCAAACGTTGCAACAAGTGCACATGCGAGAACGACACCACCTGCTCCACCGAAAAGTCTCTGAACTTCACGAGCGCGTAGGAAAAGTAGCGGGTGTAGTCGATCCTAAATATTCAGCAGGACTTTGGGGTATATTCTACTATAAAGCTGCTAGGGGCCCGTTCGCAATGACCCCTCCGTATAATGCAGTACCTGTAGTGAACTCTCTTCATGGACAGCATGAGGTATGAACGTCGAATCGCTGCTATGTAGCTGCTGCCAAGCGTCTTGTGGTGCTTACCGATGATGATGGGTACAGTTCCATGTGACATGCAGTCGACCAGGCTTTGTGGTGGAGTGCCAACCTCAAATTCAATCCCATCTTGAATATTATTATTACTATTACTATTACTATTACTATTACTAGTAATATCATGATTACTATTACTATTACTATTACTATTACTATTACTATTACTATTACTATTACTATTACTATTACTATTATTATTATTATTATTATTATTAATATTATTATTACTATTACTGGGGCAACTGCTTGCGGCTTCGGCTTGGGAGACACGCCTTCCTAATAGGGCCAAGCATCGTCGTAGTCCAGCATCAGCAGTACCTCGCTGACCCAGCTCTTTAGCCGGAAAGAGACGAAAGCGAAAGCAAAAGGCCGAAGGGGTGCTTGCAGGAGCAGGCATTCCGGCTCTGGCTCGCCCCAAAAAGGATCTGGCAGCATAACCCTTACCCCTAACACCCAAAAAAAGTCTGGTAGCATAACCATTAACCCTAAACCCAAAAAGGAGCTAGTAGCGTTCTGACCCAGGAGCAGAGAAGGTGAAGTTCTTGAAGGCCCGGTGCCGGGTATCGAACGTTCCATCGTCGATGAAATAGCCTGGGCTGCACGTGGATGCTGCACCAGACTCTGAAGAGAAATGTAGCAACATGGCATGCGCAGTTATCCGAGTTTGGCTTTTGCACTGCTAGCTTTCACCGTGTCTTTCTCTCTCTCTCTCTCTGCCGTGCCATCATCAAGGTGTCTTGCAGAAAGAGATCGTTGGACGTTTACGCCTGCACTACATGCCAATCCATTCTGCCGTGCCGCTGGCTGGCATGAGGATCTGCGCCTCCTCCCGTTCCTATTAGGGTTTAGGGGTTTAGGGTTTAGGAAGACAGGGGCTTCAATAGGGTTTGGGGGAGTATATTGACAAGAAACTTCATCCAAAAAAAAGGAGCCCCCATAGTAGTACTTTTAAGGGAATCCTTACCCTCGAAAATCCTTAACGTAATAAGGAACCAATGAGACTTAGTCAACTCGGCTTGTCGTAAAGGATGTCTCGGCTCATCTCGGAAAACACTTCTAGGGAAACACTGCCCGCTGCCTGGCGATGCGCATCACCAGCTGGCAGAAAGACCTGAGTTGCTGGCACTGTACGAGCGAACAGAGACTGATTGAACGGTTGCCTTATAAACGAAACTGATAGACTACTTTGAAGTGCTGGCAGCAAAGCGGTCAGCCCGAACCCTTTCGGTAAGCAGAATACACAGTGGCGACGGAAGCGCGATGAATAATGACAACCAAAAAAACTCAGGGCCCTCAGCCACACAAAAAGTGAGCTGCGGCCCTCCGACCCCAATCTGCGTTGTTGTTAAGTAACTGAATTCAAGTTGCCGTAACTAGGAAGTCATGAAGTACATTGCAATCAACTCTCGTATTGGTACCGGAAACGAACCCAATGCGCAACACCAACCCAGAAGATAAAGGTGCACGGACTCAAAGCCAGTCACAAAACCCTCCTCCGGGTTTTCTATAGCACTATAGACTATAGTATTATAGTATATAAGTATGGTAATGGGGTATCTTACTGTATATGTAACTATAGTAACTAACTAAAGTTTAATAATTAGTCACTTATATGTAAGCAAAATGACGACCTGTGCTAAGGGTCCGGCAGACATGCCCTCCCGACGCCACTCGATGGGCGCTGCTTCCTTGAGCCTGGGCATCGAGGTCACGGCGAGGCTAGCGCCGTGAAGTCTAGGGTCTATAGGGAAAAAGCGTTATAGGTTTCAGGGTTCTTTGGTTTAGATGGGATTTAATGTTTAGAGTTGAGGTTTAGGGTTTAGGGCTTAATTATGGGAACCGACCCCGAAGCTTTCAAGACCGACATCTGCTACCTCTGCTTGGGATCGAGCCCATCACGAGCTGCAAAAGGACTCGCGACCCACTCCTGGATAAGAGGACCTGAGGACGTCTGTTGCACCTATACAGAGATCGTAAAAAAAATATGCCTGAGCTGAAAGCCGCAACTGTCGAATGTAGAATCCGAAAATCAAGAGAAGCCCCTAAGACTGGTGCATTGCAAGCAGCTGCGCAAGTTCTCTTGAGAGGTCACCAAGGGGGAAGTTCCGGTCCTCCAGAAAATACCTTGAAGGACGGTTGATGATATAAATCCTGCAGTACCCATAATTAGGAGGATACCATAATTCCCATAGTTTAGGGTCCTTACATCATCAACCGGAGCACTGGGGAGTGGGGCATTTGGGATTTGGGTGTCCGAGCGGGGCCTTAGTACTTAGAATAGGGTTTTGGAGGTTCCTTATTATAACTCTATACCCCGAAACCCTTTTCTAATTACTAAGGCACCGCATTACGAGCTTGATGAAAAAGCATGGCCAGGCAAGGCGATTTGTCTGCGTTGCGGCCAGCGAACATCTTTCCTTCTGCTCCCAACCATGGGGCCTGCTGGACATCATCCGTGACTATGATGTCCTGGACAGTGTCGGGGCCAGCAAAATTGCGAGGCTTTGGTTAAGGGGCCTTCGTTGCATCCATAAGCTCATCTAGAGAAACTTAGTTGCTGAGTTCATAAGCCACCAAAAGTGTACGCTTTTCATTTTATAGTGGGTAATATTATCCCAAGAAGTGTAAAATGTATCCACTCAGCCACTAAGGAAACGAAAAACCTGGCATCACCATCCCCAGACCAAGACCGGTAGACAGCAGATTCCGCGTAAACTCGATCCCCCAAATCCCCAAAAGCCTGAGTACCAAAGCCACATGACAGGGGAGTTTCCGAAAATAGGGGACCCTAATATAGTACCCTAAATTAGGAGGATATATATTATAAGGACCCAAAAATAAGGTGCCCCTTATTGTTGGGAACTCCCAAAATGACTTTTCCAGTCGAGCCGCAAAGAAGTCTGCAGCCCCTTGGGGTAAAGGACCCGATTTTCGGCTGGTTTGCGGCCAGTAGAGAACCCGACACGAAGCGCTCGTATCAGAAGTGGCCTGAACGAGCATGCCTACAGACATCCCGCACAATCCATGTTGCCGGAGGTTGTGCAGACATGACTTGCTTCGTGTAAAGTTCTCGGGGCTTGATTATGATTAAACCGAGGAAAAAAGCTGTTCGGTCAGCTGAATAGTATCGATACATGTTGCACTCTTCCAGGCACGGCGCATGATGTGCACATACAAGGAGTCCGCAAAATTGCGCGAGGCACCCCGGGCACTGAACCTTGCACCAAAGACCCTGTAAGCCCTGTACACCCTACCACCTGAACCGGGCAACTTGTGGACTAGATACGGAGGAGTAGTTGCTCGCATCATAGATCTTCACAGGATGTGCCACGGCGACCAAGGCCAGAAGCCATCGCATCGCTGCTGAGGAGAACCAGCTTTTGAGGTTCCCAAGGTTTAAGGGATTTAATCCTACGGGCCCAAGTACCTGCATTAGAATCACATAATATATTACTCAAATAAAATCAATCAGAAACCCAAGTGCCCAAGTATTGGGTCCCTTGGACCCATGAGTGTAAAGTCAACCAACTTGAAAGATAGCTTGTGTGACTGCGCGAGACTCCACAGCGTCATGCTAACTTGGCTTGTCAAGTTCCACCCGCATTCAGGCTTGATTACACAAAACCCTAAAACCCAATACATGCCAAAGAACTTAGAATGGGGAGTCTCCAAACAATCTGGAGGTGAGCTCACGTGAACATACATGAGCCATCGCGCTGCCACAGAGCCGGGGACAACATGCTCGTCAGTAGAAATCCAATACTCAACTTTTATGGTTCTAATAAATACTGGCATACTGAACTAAGCGCTCTGCGATTGTAGACTATATGGATTACAGTCCTATGTTGAGTAGCTCATGTAAAACTGCTCTTTTGCACCGAATGTATCAGACCGTAGATGACTATAAGATAGAGTCTCGTGATCACGATAATGAGACCCTTACAGTGATCTAGCATTCAAAGGCGTCCACTCGCTGCGAATAACTGTGCATTGTGGCATTTGACACTGAAACTCGTAATTCCTCACCCGAAACCCAGATGCCTCGAGCCCAAAGCCCATGAGCAATGCAGAAGGGCGCTTTACCAATACCATTCCGTAGGGCCGTGTACTTGTAGCATAACTAACCCAAGCCCTGTTCCAAATACTCAGGCTCCTACATCAGCAAGCTGCCCTCGCACGAAAGGTCTGGAAGCTTCCTCCCACGGTCCTGTCATCGGGATTGACCTCATCCTGCGCCACATCTGCATGAGTCGGATAGCCTTGTGCAGGGCTTGAGGGTTTAGAGCTCAGGGCCCTGAAACATCGATTCGGAAACATGGAATGAGAGTAGGGAGTCGGGCTTCGAGAGCATTGCTGCAGTTTTTTTGCAAGCAGTCGCTCGTTGTGAAACCAGTTTAACTATAGCAAAGCCCTGGAGGCCTTTTGGCCAGTTTGACCTTGCGAAAGAGGCATGACTAATTTAGGCGCTTGATCTGCGCTGCTGACAACCGTTGCATGAGCAAGAGGAGTCGTGCCGGTAAAAGATCCGGAAACGCGCCAGCATCGGGTCCTTGAACACGACGAACTCCCTGTGGTCTACCAATCCCCCATCCGATTTTGATACTGCGGTAATAGAATCGTACGAAGATCCGTCATCACGCTGCGGAGCCCGAATCTGATCCTTTCCTCCTGCATCAGTATGGTTTTTGACTATCTTGGTTTCTCCCAGCAGCACCCTTGCGACCAAGATGCATCTTTCGCCTTCGGCATGGCGACATCTACGGAAGTCATGGTTGCCGATGCCCTCGCACAGATCACAAGTTGTGTAAAGATCTGACTTGGAGGCATTTTCTGCGAAGTAGACACCCCTGCCAAACAGCGCCCCAGCTGACCCTCCACCACGCTGTGCATCAAATCCCCGGGCAACGATTTGCTCTGTGTTGCACAAAGTAGTCCCCGTGATAAAGCAGGTATTCGTTCATGTCGACCCAGCCCGGCTGGACCTCGCACTTGAAGGCAGAGATTCCTGCAATTGGAGCGCAGCCACAGGTGATATCTTCACTCGCTCTGATACGATGTGCTGCTTCATAAAGCATCTGATTTGAGGGGTGAACCAACTCCTCGATGCGTGTCACAGACACCCTTGCCTGCGTTCCCCAGTAGCCCCCTAATAACAAGGGCACCTTTTTCCTACGATTTGGTTCCAATAAGGGAAACCTAAAGGAAAAAGGCCAAAAGGCTATTACTGGGGAACCCAGATACGATCGGGCACTTAACACCCCCTATACTGAAGCCTGTATATACCAACCCTAAACCCTGAAATTTTCCAGTTTAAGAGGCGAAAGAGTACTGCTAAAGAACCTAGTTGCTGGATCGCACCACAGGTCAGAACCCAGTCTCAAGCGATGGCTGACGATGGAGGATTGAAACTGCCGTGACAGACAGGCATACTTTGGATCTTCTACACTCAGGCTTCTGCAAAGATACCTCGCCGACTCATCCAGCGGCTTCGGGGGAAGCTGGGAATTGAAAGAATGATCTTGCAATGTCTTTGCCTGTCCTGCTCCAGTACTGACTGAAGCTTCTCGGACTCCTGAAAATGACTCTTCAATGCGGCATGCTCAGACTGGAGCATCGCATACTGCTGATCGCTCTTTCTTGCTGCATCATGTAAAAACTGGACGGACCAGGTCAAGTCATCGATGTGCCTTGCCTTGCTCCGAAAAAGTCATCTTCCAGTTCGTGGATCTCGTCAGCCTTCTTGCGAAGGACCGCGTTCAAGTGCTGGTTCTCTCCACGCAAGTGCTGGGTTTCGGTTGTCATCTTGAGCACGGCATCGGCGTGCAACGGAATTTCTCGTCTGCGTATAGCACGCATCTTTCTTGTCTCCACATTTGTCTGCGTCATGGCAGAGAAGTTGATGAAACACCTGAAGCCCGATCCACTGATAGTCAGCGCTTCCTCTATGGACTGTTCCGCATCCGGGAGATATCGTCTCCATGAGTCTGGCTCTCGCTCCAGATACTCCCAGCAAGCAACTGTCTCATACCTGCCAGAAGCTTCGGTGCATGTCCGTGTACCGATCTGACGGAAGCCATCCACAAGAGCTGCATTGAACTCTTGCCTGGGTGGTAGCTTCGGAGCCCTGATAAAGTATTTATGGATAGGTACCTCTACAGGAACCAGAAAAGGAAACTAAACAGCTCACCAAAGTGCCACCTAGTTGCTCTTTCTCAAACATCCGGCTCTTGTCGTCTAGCTTCTTCTGAAGGGCTGCGTTGGAGCTGTGGGCCCGGCGGAGTTGAATCAAGAAGCCTTTGTTGGACTTGCTCAACAGGAGCAAATCACCTCTAACTTGACGAAGCTCCTCTCGAAGCTCTCTCAAAAGATCCACATCAGGAGCTTGATCCCCATCAAGGGTTTGCTCCTCCCTTCCATCTTTCGAAGTCTCTGAGCTGCCACATGCTCCAGCTTCCACCGTCTCTGAATTGCACACTTCAGCTTCGGCTTGAAGCCGCTGCCGCTTCCTGATCCTTTTCTTCCTGTTCTTGCTGATTGCCATAGCGCACGAAAGGCAGATCTAACAAAGCAGGTCGAGCCCTGAGCCGAAAAGTAGACAGCATATCATGGAGTCTATAGTACTAGATATTGCACGATAACATATCGCAGTATATTGAAGTATATTCTGTATAGTGGATGGTGCTAACTGCTTCATCTGAGTCTACGCTCCCCATGGCCCACACGACGACATCAAGAATCCGGGAAGACACCAATGTTGCGCACTGAACTACTGGTACTTGTCAGTCAAGTGCCAAGGATCCCGTGCGTAGTGGACCACTGCAATCCAAGGATGGAAGTGCTGCTTGGCTGGTGATTACCACATACTGAACCTAATATTGCATGTACCCTTGTACTGTATGCTATGACTAACTACCTTAAACTAACGTATATTACACTGTATTAGGCTGAGAAGCTCCAAGCGGCAAAGCTCCCCGAGTTTCGCTATTACTGTGCACGCTTGGCGAAGCTCGGAAGCTGGGTCAACATTCAAGGGAAGAGAGGGCTGCCGACTGCTGCAAGCAAACGTCGGCCATTTTTATTCATGATAGCAAGATCATTACAAAAAGCATCGTGGCCAGTTGGACCTTGCCAACGAGGCAGGATGACTAGGAGCTTGATCTCCGGTGCTGGCAGCCGTTGCATGAGCATGAGGAGTCGTGCCGGTAGAAGATCCGGAAGCTTGCGAGCGTCTGCCGGTCCTTGAACACAACGAACTCCTTATGGTCCACTAGGCCTCCTTCCGCCTTTGTCAAGGCTGTAATGGAATCATACGATGTTCCGTCATCACGCTGCGGAGCCCGAATCTGATCCTTGCCGCCGGCATCAGCACTGTTCTTGACAGGCTTGCTTTCTCCCAGCAGCACCCTTGCGACCAAGATGCATCTCTCACCTCGGGCATGGGCACATTTGCGGAAGTCGCGGTTGCCAATGCCCTTGCATAGATGGCAAGTTGTGTAAAGATCTGACTTGGAGGCATTTTCCGCGAAGTAGACACCCCTACCGAACATCGCTCCTGTTGACTCTCCACCACGCTGTGCATCAAATCCCCGGGCAACGATTTGCTCTGTGTTGCAGAGGGTAGTCCCGTGATAAAGCAGGTACTCGTTCATGTCGACCCAGCCCGGCTGGACCTCGCACTTGAAGGCAGAGATTCCTGCAATTGGAGTGCAGCCACAGGTAGTATCTTCACTCGCTCTGATACGACGTGCTGCTTCATAAAGCATCTGATTTGAAGGGTGAACCAACTCCTCGATGCGCGTCACAGACACCTTGGCTGGATCACACCAAAGGTCGGAGCCAAGTCTCAAGCGATGGCTGACCATCGAGGACTGAAACTGCTCCAACAGAGCAAGATGCTTCGGATCATCAACGTCCAAGCTTCTGAAAAATTGCCTCGCAGATTCATCCTGCGGCTTTGGCGGAAGTTGGGAAAGGACAGTCTTGTAATGCCTTTGCGTCAATGCTGAATGAAGCTTCTCCATGTTCGTTTTCATTGAAGCATGTTCAGACTGCAGCTCTGCATGCCGCACCTTGAGCTTTCTGGCGGTGTTCTCTGCCGAGGCGAGACATTCGGCCGTTCGCTCGTGGGTTGCATGCAAGTTGTCGATTTCCCCATTCAATTCCCGAATCCTCTTTTGCAAGGCACGAACATCGTCTTCCAATCGCTCGATCTCGTCAGCCTTCTCGCGAAGGACCGAATTCAACTGTTTGTTCTCTCCACGCAAGTGCTGCAGGGTTTCCGTGGTCATCTTGAGCATGGCATCCGCGTGCAACAGAATTTCTCGTCTGCGTATGGCACGCATCTCGCTTGTCTCCACATTCTTTTGCGTCATGGTGGACAAGTTGATGAGATACCTGAAGCCCGAGCTACGGATAGTCAGCTCTGGCAGTTTGTCCAAGCGTGCTTCTTCTATGGACTGTTCCGCATCCGGGAGATATCGTCTCCATGAGTCCCGATCTGTCTCCAAATACTCCCAGCAAGCAACTTTCTCATACCTGCCAGAAGCTTCGGTGCCTGTCAATGTACCTACCTGGCGGAGGCCATCAACAAGAGCTTTTTTGAACTCCAGTTCTTTCTCAAGCATCCGTGTCTGTTCATGTAACTTCATCTCAAGAGCTGTGTTGGAGCTGCGCACCTGGCTGAGCTGACGCGATAGGCCTTGGTTGGACTTCCTCAACAGGAGCAAGTCACCTCTTGCTTGACGAAGCTCCTCTTGAAGCTGTCCCACATCAACACCATCGAGCGTTCGCTCTTCAGTGTCATCTTTCGCCGTCTCTGAGTTGCCACACACTTCAGATTTCGTCTCTGAGATGCACACTTCAGCTTCGGCTTGAATCCGCCGTCGCCTTCTGTTCCTTTTGTTTTTGCTGATTGCCATGGCTCTGCAGCTTCGCCCGCCCTCCCATCAATGAGATATTGCTGCTACAAATGTGTGACGAACATGCACTGTTCATTTCACACGAAGGACTCTGCAACGTGGCTCCGCAGCCCTGAGAGCCGCTGCGTCGGCAGTTCCACGAAACCAAGGCGGAAGATTAGTTGGAACCAAGCAGTAGGCGACTCGTCAGTTGTCAGTTATCCCGATCCCTGGCATCGTCCAGTCCACAAGCAGTTCTGGAATGAAACTGATAGACTTGTGACTGCCGCACGAAGGCCTGCTGTGGATACTTGCTGCATCCATCAGCAGAGAAGTTTTTGAATAGCTTGAAACATTGTAATCGCACTGACAGTAATGGCAAGGAAGATAAGCTTCTTATGCAAGAACGCCCTGCAGTAACACCGCCATAATACTTCGAAGCACACGGCCAGAAACACTGACGCTCATCATCGTCACCGGCATCCTCCAGATTCTCCTAATTCCGACACCACATTTTTCTGGCCATGACCGGTAGAATCATGGTTCCGGAATGTTCTAGAGCACTCCAGACGTTGCACCCGCAAGCCTGTGCCAGGGGCGGTGGGTGTGCCCGCGCCCGCAGCGGGACTCCCTGTGGCAGCCTGCAGGAACGATGCAAACGATGGTTCTGGAATGCTCAGGTGAGAGATCGGGGAGCGTGGTAAATGGGCTGCACATGCCAAAGTTCTGTTTAACTTACTTGCGAGCTGAGCGGCAGCTCAGTGTGTGACGTGCGACCAGAAACTATGAAGGATGTTGCAGGCGATCGCAAGGCGTGAAGGCTTGTGACCACGGAGAGTTTGGGATGCCTCTATTGTTCTGGATCTAGCATGGTCTGGTCCGTGGACCAGTGGTGAGCCTTAAACTCCCTCTTCACTGACCGGACAGCGAAGACAGCTTAGTCCCGAATGGATTCACTCAGCACCCAAGTCGAATCTACAGAGGCGCGAGAAACACGGGAAAGTTTCACTTGCTCCAAGGCTCTGCGTTGAGACGATCTGGGCATCGGAGATTAGTCAGTGCAGTGCAAGCCCTACAGATGCTATGTGTACTTTCACATAGGATCTCCCTGTTCTCTCCTAGATCCCCAGAGACACCAATATTCTTAGTTCAGGAATATTCCTTCAATCTCACCAGGGGACCTATGAAAAGTATAACCTATAATATTACTATTTAAGATACGCTCCTTTATTAAGGGGTTTGGCAATCTCCCTGCTCCGTCGCCGGCCTCAGCTGTTGGAGAAGCCCCCGGCCTCCGAAGAAGCCGATGGATATCGCTCGGGCGAACCTCCCGGAGGCTATTAGGGTTTGGGGTTTACATAGGGTTTTAGGGTTTAGGTTTTTGGGATCTAGGGTTTTGGGTTTCCGGGTTTAGGGTTGAGTGGTTTGGGGTGTAAGGTTTAGAGGGTCCCGGAAGCAAGGAACCACGTCTTTCGGTCACGGAGTGTGCTCCAAGGGCATGTAGAGGGGCTCACAAAGCCTCAAATAATCCTGAAAGAGTCTGCTAAAGATGCAAAGGTAGTACATATCAAGGTTGCAGGCTTAGGGCCGCAAAGTCAGATAATACCGGGGCCTTACTAATCACCTATACAATTTCGGGGGTTCCTCGTTACAATTATAGTGTAATATACTCCAAAACCCTATTCTAATTAAGGTCCCTATATTACATCTTGCAGTTTGAAGATGAAACTGTCTCAATGTGCGCGCGCAGAAATAGACGAGTTCTGTAAGAGCCAGGCCCACTTCGAGTTGCTGCCCTCGTTAAAGACCACGAACACGGAGCCCTTGTAGATGGGCTCCCCCAGAATTTGCCTCGGGCGATGTTGCAAGCTGCACAATCTCCAGCTTCTTTGAGTCTCGATGCAAATGTGTGACGTGTTATGGGCCTTCTTTTCTGTGCGACATGCACATAGCACAGTACAAATAGACAAACATCATAGAACCACTACAATTATGGAGAAGTCACGCGCGCACACACACACACACATACGCACACACGTGCATATATTACACGTATGTACGCATGTGTGTATAAACAATTTTTCAGATTCCCACTTCGGGCCTTCGATTCTTGACCTTCCCGGACGACTCAGTGTAGCCCATTCACATCAGCCTCCTGTTGTACACTCCGTTTCTCCCTTGGCTGGACAAACTGTAATTTGAAAGAATCCTTTTTGCTACTGGGCTTGAGCACTAGCCGACCTAAAACCCTAAACGCTAAATCGTGTTTCTGACAGGACTGGATCTGCAAATTGCCAGGGATGCCACACATCCACCTTGGAAATCTCCTGGACGACACCGTCCTCTATCCAGATTCCCCGAGACTTGCTCCAGACCTCGGCCATCCCCGTTTGAAATGAGTTTTTGTGTTTTCTCTCTCTCTCTCTCTCTCTCTCTCTCTCTTTCTGTTTCTCTTTTTCTCTCTCTCTCTCTCTCTCTCTCTCTCTCTCGGTGTGTCTCTCTGCCTGTAACGATGTCTCCATGTGTTGAGTTTGGCCTTTAGAGCCCAGTCTGTGCTGTGCCTTCTCTCGTATGGAGGGGGCCGCGTCATAAGTTGGTCTTTTGGTTCACCCTTGAACTTATTCACGCTTCCGTGGGGGCTCTAGAACCAACCAGCTCTGATGATTAGTAGGCGGGAGAAAGTATTTCTATTTCAGGGCATACCTTTGGCGGCTGAATGTCCTGACGTCCAGGGGAATTCAGTGAGCGTGAGCCAGACAAGCAAAACAAAGCAACTGGTCAATCGGCACGTAGCAGTAAGGGCGCGACGTGAACTTTCTCTCCTGCATGAGCCATGGGCAGTGGTGATATCGTCATCCCGCACATCGTATACACTTGTCCCAGAGAGACACCTCACGTGTTACATACAAGGCCTTCAGGCCTTCCACATCTGCAGAGTTTGGATACAGCGATTTCAATCGCAACGAATACATGCCAACGACTCTCCACATCGATGCTAACAGTGAGGTTCCAGAGCACGATGGCAACAAGTATCCACACTGCAGAGGGCCCCAGGGAGTGTACCATCGTTGCCCATGCATCTTGTCAGCTATATTCAGTGGAAGCCAGCCTGTATCTGACTGGCCTGTGCATAGGCCTGACATTTGTCGTTGAAGCCAGAGGCCATTCCGGACAATCGCAAGCCCGAAGACTCCAACCCTTCAAGAATCCAAGATAACACAGTGCAACATATTAAAAACCATGGAGCTATGTATAGTGCGACACAACATAATGGAGCATCATACACCATCATACATGATCTAATTGCTCAGTCGCCGAAAGCTGTAAAGAAAACACCTCTCCTTCGGAGAGGGCGGCTGCAGCATCGGAGCGCTTGGCTGTTGGCCCCGGGATCACGAGGCTTTCAAACAGATCCTTCTGGAGTTTAGGATTTGGGGTTTGGGTTTAGGGTTTGGGGTTTTGGTTTAGGGCTTAGAGTTTAGGGCTTTGAGTAAAGAGTTCTGGTTTAGGGTTTAGGGTAGGTTTAGGGCTGTCGCTGGCGGCTCTATGAGGGTTTATCGAGACTTGTGCTTCATGAGTTTTGTTGCATTTGTTTTTGGATTGGCTACTTGAGATCTCTTACAAGGCTTCGACAGGTGCTCTATTCTGCCGTGGCTTCTGCCATATGTCTTGTACGTGGCTTTGTGCTACCATGCATGCTCGTACCGTAAAGCTCAACTTGTCAATAGATGTTTAAAATACATGAATGTGTATTAAGCCCACGCGGTCGTTCAGCCGTTTGAGTAGGTTTCATCATAAAGCTGCATATCGGTCACCGAACAAAGCGGGATGAATAAACATTGGGTATTGGCATGTCTGGACTGGAAGGCTGCATACTCTGACAGGCTTCTAAGCTAAAGTAGCCGCAATGCCTTTGTCCAAACATGTACTGCCTCCTGTCAGCACGACCTAGAATTTGAATCTGCAGACTTCGTCAACACCACCTCTGCCAGTCAGGCTACAGGCATGGGTTCAGGCTCCATGGCCATCCTCAACTTTCTACGCATTGAAACCACACACCTCAGACCCCAGCCCCGCATACCATTTTGCCTAGGGTTTAGGGTCATGCGGATAAAGTACTGTCTTACTTCGCCCGAAGCCACATCTCAGCAAATGTGTTACATTTGACGGATGAGACCAAAGAGCCCGAACCCAAGAATTGCGAAAGTCGGTTGCATATCCTACCTATAGTCTCCATTGTAGTTCCATATATTTATTGGTTAACCAAAGTCTTTCTCAAGGATCCTAACCATAAAGTTGGAAAACCCCCAAAAAAAGAACTACAATAGAAAGACCCTTACGAAACCTGAAAGTCTAAAGCCCAAAACTCTCATTCCCAACACCCTAAGCTCCCGAGGCTTGAAACTCCGAAATAAACGCATGTAAAGAAATACAGAAATCATATTAAGGAGCCCTCAAAAGGTACAGTATTTAGGCCTAGGTAGGCCATAAACCTCCTGAAGGAAAAAAAAAGGGAGGAGCTTTCCAGTCCGGAGCGGGTGGGCTTCCATCGCATTCGATGACCTTGGGAGGTGCTTGCCTGGCAACTGCGCGGGATCAGAAAGGGCACATAGGGCTTCGGGTTTACTTGGAGGTTCATGGGACTTAGTAACCAGGGTTATAATTGTAAAAGGTATCTACACTTATATGTACTTAAAATCCCAGTTTGGGTACCTATAACTGTACTTACTAAGTCCCTGAACCTCCAAGTAGGGCTATGGGATTATGGCTGAGGGGCCTAGGCCTCAGGCTTTGTAAGGCTTGGGGTTGGAAGTTTCGGAGTCGATGGGTTGAAAGGGATGCGGCTAAGGCTTAGGGTCATCAAGGAGTTCGCAGGGACAATCGTGACGCAGGGAATCTAAGAACTGCGGGCCCCGAGAGTGCAGCAGGGTTGCCACAGAAGTGCTAGGATTTTGGGGTTGGAGAACTTAAGATGATGGGTGTCCGATTGGTGCATCTGTGAACTTGCCCTGAGGCTGCTG